AGGATTGAGCAGTTCTATTGATAGTTTTAACTGTATCAATACTTGTTTGACGACTGATATTATGTTTTACAGGCAACGACGTTTCTAAGAATAAAAATATACCTCTTTTAATTTTTGATAAGAAATCAATAAAAAAAAATCATAATTACAGTTTTCTAGAAATCATGAGATTATACTTAATCTCATATATCTTCTACAAATAGGATTAATAGGCCAGTGTTTTATCGAGCGGATAGAGGCGGCGCACACCCGAAAAAAGAAACTCGGATAAAACACTGTTATAGACCAATTACTTTTGATAGATCTCGTACAAATAGGAATCGAAGTCTACTACATGTATTGCTTGATTTATATTGTAAAAATTGAATATAGCATCGACTACTTTCGATTAGATTCATAGAAATCTCATTTACTCTTGGCACTATGAGATTACTAGTAAGCTTGATTAAAAAAATGTTTAATATACCTTTCGGCTTATTATTTGTAGAAGAATTTATCAATGGCTGAAGAGGATTTGAAACAAGTTGTCCTGATTGATTCACTGAACATGTTAATGTTATTGGTAATCCATCCGGTATACGACAATAATGATCAATTAAATGTTCTAATGAATCAAAATAAGGTCCATCATCAATATAAAATGTTGTTTCATTAAGACATATAATTTCAAAATTAAAAAATTCATTTTTATTATAAAGTGTTAAAGCATAATTTTTTAAATTTTTCGAACTATGACGAACAATAAACATTCCATTAGAAGATTCATTTTTAACCGATTCAATTAATTGTTTAGCAGCAAAACGATCAAAATTTGATTTATCATGTAACCAATCATTACGAGATGATTTAGCTAATGATGTTTTATATTGTCGTAAAATAAGAATTGATTCAATACATTGATTTTCTTCAGCTAATTGAAGAGGAGTTTTTCCTTCATTAGTACGTGGTCGAAGTGGAGCACCACAATCCAGTAAAACTTGAACACAAGCTGTTGAATTATGAAAAGCAGCTTCATGTAATGGTACCCAATAATTTTTATAATTACGTTCTTCATAATCTAGTAAGCCTTCATTGATTAAAATAAGTAATGTCGATGGACGATTACCTGCTGCTGCCTAAAAGAAAAAACAGAAAGAGAAAATCTATCTTATTTCTATATTTCATATTGATTTACTCTATGTAAAGCTGTTGAACCATTAGCATCTCGAACACGAATATTACTACCTGCTTTGATTAATAATCGAACAATATTATCATGACCATAATAACTTGCTTCATGAAGTGCTGTTGAACCATAGGAATCTTTTCCACTAATATCAGGTCGATATGTTGCGTATTGAGATGAAAGAATTCTTTGAACAATATCAACTTTACCTTGTTTACATGCTTGATGAAGAATATTAGTTGTGCCAATACATCGAATAGTAATTGGAAGTGGTTGACCTTGAATGAATTCAGTTGAAAGTATACAAATAAGACCATCTGCACGTTCTTGATAATAACGTATTAAATTATCTATACCAGCTATTTGTGGACCGGAATCTATAAGAACAAGAAAAAAAGAAGCGAAACTAAAAGAAATCAAATGAAATTATGTTATTCTACCAATAGAAAAATGAATGTCATATAAAAGTTGTATTTTGTAATGATAACATCTATCGTTATAAATAAGTGATAAACTATAATCATGTGATGATGTTGTGCAATTACGTATTAAAAATAATCCATCAATTTTTGAATTTATATAGTTTGTTTTTAATAATTGTTCGGCTTGATCTCGATCAATATTTGGATGATAATAAGAAATAAAATATGATTGAGTTATTAATTGTTCACGATCTTGTTGAAGTAAATGAGTAAGTGAATGATTTTGAAGAAGATTACTTAATGAGTCTTCTATTGTATCATATAATAAAGAGTTCATTATATAAATCGTACAAAGAAATTAAATAAAAATCATCAAGACAATATTTTTAATCATTGATCGTTACTTGTGTGTGCGTGTATATGTAAGAAAGAATTTCTCGTTCTATTATGCTTATTTTACACAAAAGAGCATCAATATATAAGTTTGTCTGGTCAATTGTTCGGTCCGAACGATAAAAATACAATCGATTGTATGTCACTACACGAGACAGACACTTGTATAGATATGATTTAATTGATTGAACTATTGATAGTGACTAAATAAAAAGCAAAGATCTAAGTCAAACATTGTTACAAAATAGAAGAAATTTTATTTATCGAATAGAACAAAACATTTCTTTTTTCTCGTCTGTTTATGAGTATGGATTTTGTGTCTTTTCTTTTTTTCTTTTTTTCTTTTTATGATGTTTTATCTTAACGAATTTTTACAATCTTTGACTAATAATAATGATAAGAAGCAATTGTTCAAAATTTCGAAAAAAAAAAGAAAAAAAATTTTACGCATATATTTACTTACTTATCTATTCGTCATAACATCAATTGCTTAGCAAAAAAAAAGAGAAAAAAGAAATGACTCGATTTTCTACAATCATATATCGTACGTACAAACTATGCTCATATTACTTAACAGCGAATATATATATCCTCATCATCATCATCATTTTGTCTTGCTCATGTTATTCAAAGCCGAGAAAGAAGGACAATGAATGTTGTTAGTTTTTTTTTATCGTCTTACTTTCGAGCAGTAACAGATAATGAAAGAGAATCTTGATATTTATATATATAGCGACTCTATAATAAAATAATCAATTGTAATGAAACTACTGTTGACTGTAAGACCGAAAGAGAGAGAGAGAGAGGAGATACCTTTACTTTTTCTTTTATATTCTGTACCTCCCTATCTTACATCTCTTTTTTGTCTATATTGTCAATATACATTCGTTTTGAATCTGATATGAAATAAATGAAAGAAGAATACTGACAACTAAAAAAACAGCTTCTCATCTCGAATAAATATATATATATATATACTTACTTTTAACTATTGAAAGAAAAACAAAATTGCCTTTTTTTTCTTGAGAATTCTTTTTCTTTTCATATTATATCAAAGTATTTTTGTTAATAATAACAACAATAATAAAGAATACTTACATGTTCGTATGAACAAAACTTAATGTTACATATTTGATTAGCATCGATTATGTCATAGAATAAAAGATTCTAGCACTTGTTGATGTATCCTTCTAATATTGTACAATATTACAAATACTAGAATGATAATAAACAGTTGACTTCTTATGAAGGATATCTATCAGTCAATCATATTTTGTAAAAAAAAGTCTGTCATTACTCGTTAAATATATATAAGATCTAGGTTCATAATAAAAAATATCTTTATCGATGTTTGATTTGAAAACAATCTCATATATATGTATTCAGTTTTCTTTCATTGTTATTTTTTTCTGTGTATAAATTGTTAAAACTACGCAATTATCGAAATATTTCTCTCAAATAATAAAACATGTCCTTTAAAATAAACTTATTACAAACCTTCAAGTATATATTTGTTGTGTATACGAGGTGATACTGTTTTTTTATTTATATCAATACATGATTGAGAGAGAAAAAAAACGAAAGTTACATTTAAAAATACTAACAGTTTTATTCTTCAAAATGAGTTCGAATGAATGAGTAAATAGGTTAATATGAAAGTACATAACTTCAGGATAAAATTTATGCAATACTTTACTTCAATGATTTTCTCATACATTATATAATCGAACAGCCATCTGATATAATTATAATATCTGATCTTTAGGATTCGTAAATATTGTATCCGCTTCTCGTGCCTTTCTAACGATTTTTAAAATATGAAGACATAATGTTGCTAGTCACAAAAATTAGTTGATGAAATTTTTCTTTTATTTTCATATAAGAATTAAATGAGACTGAGCGAAGTTTAGATTTTATTCAATCTATGATTTCAAACTACAGCTGAATTATCTATTAATCAAATTATAAGTGATAACAACATAAATATTCAGACTCTATATTTCAGTTCCTACAAATACAGAAGATCTAAGAGTTCATTATGGAAATATTCACTTTAGTCTATCATAATAAATAATGGTTGCAATAACAGCATTTATTCTATCAAAATAATCGATATTTTACTTGTAATATTATTATTCAAATCAAATTTTATAGTATTTACAACTAAGAAAATCAATATTATACTTCCTATTGATTACAATGATCTGATTTCTATGTATTTAAGTATCTTCCCTGTCCTGAAATGTTAAATAGCTCATAGATTGAAGACTAGTAGCAGTTTTGTATCATGTAATTACTACTATTAGATTCTTCTAGATATTTAAAGTATTTTCCTACTGGACAGAGATAATTACAAAGCATATTTAGTCATTTATAACATTGGCTGATACCATTAAGGAGATTTTATTTCAGTATATGATTAATGATGAAAATAAAAGAGAGAAATGTTCATTTTTTATCGTTATTTAGATTCATATGTTGTGTTTGACATGTACACTTCTTTCATGATGTTGTTTATATATAAATATACATTGAAAGAATGGAGATGAATGAACAAATTTTCTCTTTTTCTTTTCTTATTCGTGTGCTGGCCGATGGACGGCGCTATTGTGTCCTGTGTTCTTTAGATCAATACAAAAACATACTCTATTAGACAGTGAAGGTCAACGCGCACGTACACATACACACATAAGAGTGAAAGAGGAAGAATGTATGTTGGTCAATTTTCATAGATGCTCGTTATTTCTCTTTGATACGAAGGCCAATAAATCCTATAGTTGTTCTATTTTCTACGATGACTAACCGTTCTACGATGATCATCATTATTATAAAAAAAAGAAGATGAGTAGGCAGTAGTTCTAGCACATCCTTTGTAATTTTATTAGATAAAATAAAGTATTTAATTATAAGATTCATTTTGATATAATTTATATTAACTAATACTTATTCATTTCTTTCTTTTTTTTTAGTATTTTAATATCTAATAATTATATAATTAGAGTTGAAGAATATAATTAACAATGCCGACAAATATCTTCGTAGTAAGTTTTTTTTTCTTTTTCCCTCTATTTTTACCAATAGAAAAGAAGAAAAAAAGATTGAGTGTGAGAGAGAGAGAGTGAGCGAGAGAAAGCAATGCTGTTATTAGACTAGTTTCTTTTATTTAACAAAAGTTAACCGTAAGTCGAGTTTTTCGAAACAAAACAAAATTTTATTTTAGTCAAGTGCAATTGATTTGACACTTGATCTTTCGATAAAATCATTATCGTCATCATCGAAACGAGCAATGTCAACCGTGGAAAATACTTCAGCATCATTAACAACTTCTGATCCTGGTGGTGGTGAAGGTGGTAATTCAACAACAGATATCGATGAAATAAAAGTATTTGAATGTGAAAAACATGAAGAAGATATGGATATTGATGGAGATGACAATAGTGATCGGCTTTCACCTGTTATTAAGGACGAAATAGAAGTAAGTTTCTTTTTTTGATCTTTTAATTTGAAGAATCTCGATTTTTTAGTCATCACCCCAGCAAATATCAGCAGCAGCAGCGATAAATCTTTCCGGTAAAATTATATTATTTAAAAGAATATATACATAGTTATTTTTGTCTTCTTTTAAAGATCGTTTAAACAGTGAACAACAAACTCATAGTTTCTTTCCATATTTTATATCGCCATATTATCATGCTAATAATACAATTCCATCATTTGTAAGTTTTAATTTTTTGATTGTATTGAATTTATCTGTTTGACTGTTTCTAATTAACATTTACATAGTTCAGAGAAATAAGATAAGAAAAACCGTTACAAACTAATTTGTTATTGTAATTTAGATAATCTGATAACATTTTTCTGTTATCAAAGGTTATTTATTGAAAATAGAAAGAATGTTAAGAATTAAAAAAAAACTTAATCAAGTGAATGTTTTTAATATATCCGCTTTAGATATATTAAGTGAGGGATAAGAGTTCCTTATGCACGAATGAATAGATATGTATATGTTTTATCCAAACTAACAAAATTTTCGATTGTATTATTGAAAATAATCATTGATGTTTTCTAGGACAAAATGGCTTCATTAGAATCATTATCAAAATTTATGTCACCACCACCAGCTCACATAACTAATTCCAATATATGTACTGATCAAACTACAGGTAAAGTAAATCAGTCTATTATTTAGAGAATACTACTTCTATTTCTTCTTCTATATATATATATATTTATTCTCTAATTGTTAAATGATGAGGTGAAATTGCTCGCATTCAAGCTCTTCAGTTACAAAGAAAAGAGAGAAAAAGAAAACGAAGAGGTTAATCATTTATTATGAATTCTTTATGACGTTATGCTTTAAAACAAACGACTCGCCTTTATATATACTCGATGAATAGATGAAAATCAATTATTAGTCAACTATCGTTCGTCAGTTGAGAGGACGAAGTAATAAAAGAAGGAAATAGGAAATACATTTAGTACTTCATTAAATAAATCTTTCTTTCTTTCAATATCTACTCCAAAAAAAAAGAAGAAGAAGAAATCAATCGATTTTAAGAACAAAGCAAAAAAAAGGTGAACTCATAGATGCAGACAAGCAAGATTATTCATGCAATACTAATCGACATACATGTCGTTAGTTGACGTTTAACAAAGTGGAAAATGATCTTGTTAACGAGATACAAGACAATGAAAGAATAAAAGAGAATGTTCAATGTGATATGAGAGAGAAAGGAAGAGAAAAAATGTCCGATAATCAAGATAGTTTAATAAACAAAATTTGTTTTTTTGCTTAATGATAATTCATGCATATTGCACTTTCAAAAAAAAAAAGAAAAAGAAGAAGAAGACTTTTCCCTTTTTCTCTTTGATCTTAATTGAGACATATTCATATTTTAATTATTTATATATTCCTATTTTAATAGTCTATAAATAGGCACTCAGTTTTTTTCCTGATTTAAACATATCTATTACTTTTTTTTGTTTCATGCGAAATAGAATTGTTATATAATAATTTTTAGTCATGAAAGATACTTTTTTTTCGAATATCTGTATGAATACTAATAGTTATAATCAAATTTTAAAAATCCATCGTTTAAATTCATACAAAAAGGGCTTGTGATTTGATTGGTATATTGATTATTGTTAAAATCTTAATAAAGACATGTCATACTCGAGTGGCAGTAAGAAATATTATTAGAGTTTAAACCAGAATCCATTCTGTCTTGGTCAATTGTATTTAGTGAATGAGGATTGACGGGAAATATTGAAACTTAGAAAATAGGAATATCGATAAGAGTGTTAGTAGATTGAAAGAAATACTTTATTTTTCATCTAATTCATAATCTATGTTCACTATACAGTTTATTCGATATATTCTACTCATAAATAAGAGTCAGCAGGGGCGTACCGAGAGCAAGGGGCGCCACACGATTTTTTGTTTAAATTTAGCACGGAAAAATTGTTTTTTTCGATTTTTATAATTTTTGCGAGCAGAAACAATAAAAGTTTCCCAAAGTAAGGGGACGTTACACCCCACGCGCTTCCTAGTCGGTACGTCCCTGAGAGTCAGCTATAACTGGATCATATAATTACTCTCATGACCTCTGAACAAACAACATACGAAATTTTGAGAAAGCGATTAAAATTCAACATAAAATGCTGAGCTATCTTCTCTATTTAGGCATTCCGAATCCAATATATGCATTACCATCACCAACTTCATTTCAATCACCATATTCTCAACATTGGTAATTCTTTATACTTCTTTATATTTATCTCAAAATAAAAGTGTTTTTTTTGTATATTAGGCGTTCACCTATGTTTCCATTTGTATTTCCATCTGGTTATTCATTTTCTTCAAATTCTTCATCTCCTTCTATATCATCAACACAAAAACGATCGCCAAATAATCGACGTTTTATTGATAATAATAATTCTCAACAAAATCATCATAAACAATCAATATCCCATGATGAACAAAAATCAAAAAAATCTCATATAAAAAAACCGTTAAATGCTTTTATGTTATTTATGAAAGAACAACGAGCACAAGTTGTACAAGAATGTACATTACGTGAAAGTGCTGCAATTAATCAAATACTTGGTCGAAAAGTAATCGAAAATAAAATGTAATTTCTTTTTTTTTATATTTCCTATTTTATTTATAGTGGCATGAACTTGATCGTAATGTTCAACAAAAATATTATGATATGGCACGTGATGAACGTATGAAACATATGCAATTATATCCTGGTTGGTCAGCTCGAGATAATTATGGTGCACGAAAAAAACGAGGAAATAGTGGTAAAAAACGAGAAAAAAATTCAGGTGAAAATGCAGGTAATTTTTGTATTAAATATAGTTTAATTTTTATTTGTTTAATATTTAATTTTGAAAAGAATGTCTTAATCAAAAAAAATGTCGAGCACGATTTGGTCTTGATCAACAAGCAAATTGGTGTAAACATTGTAAACGAAAGAAAAAATGTTTACGTTATACAGAAAATGAAACAACATCATCAGTTGGTGTTACTTCATGGAGTGATGAAGATGATACGGACAATAATGATGATTCTGATGATTGTGATGTTATTCCAATGATTGAACAAAATAATATGTCAATACATACAGGTATATCAATGGATTCTGATGAAGAAAATACATTACGTTTATTAAAATATCAACAAACATCCAATGAAAATAATCGATCCGAAGGAAAGATAATCGGAAAAGAATCATCATTACAAGTACCTTTTTTTCAATCATCTCATCATTATCCATATTTTGATTCATTTTTACCAACAGCATCAATGCCAATTTTAAATGAATTTAAACAAGAAACATAAGATTTAAATATTTTCTCTCTTTTCTTTTTCTTCTTTTTCTTCTAGTCAGTATAACAAGTTGATTGATCTTATTATAATATCTAATCTCTTTATAATCTTTTATTTTTTTTCTCTGCTGTATTCATTTGTTGTTCGTTATAAATATTTCGCATGTTATATAATCTTTAAATATTTATATGTATGAAAATCATTTCGTTTTTGTTTTTGTGGAAATGAATACAGAATTCATTAAAAAGCCTTTAATTGAATATTAAAATTAATGATGTATACCGATTAATTGGAAAAAATTGTTTTAGAAACAGCATTATGTTAAAAATCATTGCCATTGAACACCTTCAGATAAATTTAGTATTATGTCCTAGATATAATGCGTACCATTAATCGATTTATCAGTCTAGAGGGATGAAATATCAACTAAGTAGTACATATCGTTAGATCAATCATATTGTAATTGTCACATGTTTTCAATAACAAACAATATGACTAAGCTCATATATCATGTTACTTTAAATTAATATTAAACAGCACAAATTCATGTCGTAGAGTTTAACGTGTTATTCATCAAATAAAATAATTCATATTGACTTTGTTTTAGAACCGATTAAATGTAATGAATAATATGTTTATCGAGGAATCATATTTTTCATTATTTTGTGTAAAGATTAGCTATATCTACTAATCTATTTCTCTATAATTGCTTATATTTTCGTTTAAATAAGTACAAATACTTTATTTGCTCGAGATAAGATCTGTTGCATTAATTCATTAGATAAATAGTTGTCCATAGAAAATAAAAAACAAGTCTCTATGTTTTTCTATAGGATTGATTTTAATCGAACTTTGATGTAATATGACCGATAGTAATTTATTTATTTTCTTCCGTAAAAGATTGCTGATATGATGATTAAGTACTTATTTCTTATCAATCGTACAGGTTTATAAATGCGCCTGTGCATACATATAATCAAATTTCGAGTTAAAGTTTTATTTTACATCGTACTTTTATTTTGACAAAATTTGACTGATGATTGCAATAAAACGAATCATTAAAACTTTTGGTCTGATATTACTTTTGTGTCATGTCACTCATCAAGGTAATTTTCTTAGATTAATTTCAAATATTATAGATGCATAATAATGATTAGAAAGAAATCTATAGATCGCCAGAAAGTTTTATTATCAACAAACATAGTAATGATTTAATAGAAGACTAGTCAAACATATGAAGATAGAAGTTCGGCATAAAATTTACTTTTTATATACTAATTTATAGTTTCGTCAATAAGATGTCATGAAAAGATCTGAGAGAGATCTTTCACAGTTATTTGACGTTAGAAACTATAAGAGACCCGAGATAAGAAGATTCATGACTGATTTCATAACTTAAATTCTTTCGATTTGACCAGTTCTCTATAAGATCTAATCAGAGTCATTTACCTATGCAACCATTATAATTTCAATATATTTATGCATGGATATCATAGTTTTAGTTACTACTTTCATAAAAAACGAAAACAATAATCTCTAATACTATTTTAGAAAATAACAGCGGAAACGGTATATGTCACGTCTATGGAGATCCACATATTATACCCTTTTCGGAACAATCTGAAGCAATTCGAAATCAATACTGGTGTAAAATGTCCGGTGAACATAAAATTCTTCGAAACGATTATGTTGAAATTGTAGCTATTACAAAAGATAAAACCTGGTTAATTGATCAAGTAAGTTTTGAATATTACGAAAATATTCTATATTTAAGTATTATACGTAGTTTAATGTGACATTTATCAAAGATAATCAAATACTTTGTACAATTTCCGATAAAGAACAGTATTGCAGTAGTCCAGGTAAGGATTAAAACTAATGTATAAAAATATTAATTAGTATATTGTAAATAGAAATCAGAATAACTCGTCCAAGTCTGACACAAATTGAAATTTCTTATGCTACTGCTGGAATATATATTTCCATTGTACCATATCAATATCAAGTATATAAAGTTTTTCATAAGAAATTTTTTCTTTATATGACTTTATACTTTACAGTATAATTGGTTTGATATAAGTATTCGTATGCCATACGACCTAATCAAACAATCCAATGGTCTTTGTGTAACTGTACCGACTGATAGTTGTGAAATTGAAAATGGTATTGCACAAGACAATAGTATTAATTCATTATCTCGAATAATATGTGAAGTATACTTACAAGCAAGTGAGCTAGCAAGAATGAAATTAAATCTCTCGGAAGATTTAGAAATAAATAATAAGGCTTTACTTGCATGTATTCATGATTATGATACAACAAACAATAAAAATGTAAGCAAAATACAGGAAAACGTTTTTTTTCTGGTATACTTATAATTTATAATAGTTCGGTGCAAGCATGGTGAATATGATTGTCAAGGATGGAATTTATAAGAAGTTACTCAACGATTTCGAGTTTCAGTCATATACCATCACCAGTATTGATATAGTTGATAACTTTGTGACAGACGCAAATATTTTTATTGATACTCTAATTGACACAACGACAACGACATCCACGACAATTTCAACAACAACAGCAACTACATCGGTTTCTACGACAATTTCAACAACGACAACAACTACATCGGTTTCTACGACAAATGCAACAAATTTGGCGAGTTCAACGGTGACTTCAATTTCGACAACAGCATCAACTTGTTCATTAACTATTAGATCAATCCATAATGTTTTGATTTTTCAATTCTTTTCATTTGTTACATTATTTCTTTTATTTTAATATTTTACATAACCATACGATTCACTAATATATCGAGAATTAAATTCATTCGCTACTTTAACCCTTTGCGTCCCAAGTTATTTTTTGCTGAAATAAATTTCAGTAGATCGTAAAACTAGCTTCTTCTAGACATAAAGTGTATGATATGAATAGGGGTGTGGGTGATAATAATATGACCACCTTGAACTAACATCCACGCTCTTCGAGAAAATTCTAGAGCATTCTTTGCGGCTTCATCCAAAGAAATGACGTGCAAATTTTCTTTACGTATACGATGAAAATCAGTTATAAAACATGTGTAGCAAAAATGCTACTATGAGACTCAAAGAATTAATTGAAAAAGATATTATTCTTTACTTCTAGATATAGACATTCTTAATGAACTTTCATCTCATATTTCAAAAGTAAAAGAAAAAGAAAATAAT